AACTATCAGTAGATCGGCAGCCAGGAAACAACAATCGGTATATTGCGATAAAATGGCGGTTAGAAAATAGCCAATTGTTTAAGTATCAAACTACTGCTGATATAACGCACATTATTCTGAACGGCCTACTGAGGGTTTATCGACAATTTTTGTCCAGTTCCAATTATATGGGTAGATAAGATGATTATCTTGTGTTTTACCATGAATGCAAAATTATATTCTAACTATTATTTTCTGAGGACAAAACTCTGTTGTATGGTAGTGCGCATCATCTTCGTGAAAAGTGTGATCTTCAAATCTTGATTTTATCAGAAATTTTTATCATGATGTGATAATCAGTAATCGATATCAATGAAACAATATGTCATTATATTGTAAATCTATTAAACGTTTGGCAATCATATCACTTTTACTGGCGATAGTAGAATTTAAAAATTTATTTGAAATTGATTACAGGTGACTAATTATTATTGTGCTATATTCTGATTAAACTAAAACCTTCCATAATAGAAGATTCCGAAGTCTTCTTTTGTGTCTCATTGATTTTCATCATTTTTAATTTAAAAAATGTTTTTTTTCAGAGAATCAAAACAATTATGAGAACTTGAAAAGAGACTTTTAGGATTTTCAAAGCCTAGAAATGCTATTGACCTCAATTTTTTAAGATTTTGTAGCTTAAAACCTTGAAACATAGGACTTATATTGATAAAAATATACTAATTAAAATTCCAATTTCTCGAGAAATTAATTAATCAAGGATAATGTTCTATTAAGTTTGGTGCATTGTCATTCTGAGCAGAGTGCATTTCATTAAGAAAATAAATTTATTCGTTTGATTACGCATCGACAAAGATAGTGGCGGAACCAGGATTCCGGTCTAGGAGGAGCTGAGCTCTATATTCATTGTCCAAAGTTCGTCGAACGTAACAAGATGTGCTCTTTGCGACACATTTTCTCAAGCCATCGTACAGACGTGCAGAATCTACCGGTGTGCGCGAACGGCCGTTCGGGGAAATTTTTGAAAATTTAGTAGTATCTGAGAAAACTTTTTTGATAAATACTTTCTTCTATGGAGAAAATTTTTCAATTTACTAAATAAATTTCAGTTTATTTATATACAGGATGGATCGAAAGTAAGGAAACATAACATTTTTTCGATTTCGTCTCGATACATGAATAATAAAATCTCATATTTATATTACATTTACTAGGTGGTGATAGTCTCATGTGTAGCTTGTTAACAGTCTCGAGGCTTCATAGTTTATTTCAAAAGCGCATCAATATATTTTGTATACTCTTTTGTGACTGTAGAAAAATTGACTATTTTTGGTCGAATTTTATATTCGCTTTTTTTGTTTGATTGAACTAATTTGAAGAATACATTGAATAGTATGTTCTTTTCTGAATCTCTTGAAGATAAAACAATGGAAAAAAAATCATACAAATATGTTTTAGCCTGAAAATTGATACAGTCAGACGGAAAGTGGTTATCAAATTCTACAAGAAAGCAATAATTCTTATTCCAGTCACACAGGAGTATATAAGATAAACCAATGTGTCTTTGAAACAAACTCTTGAGCCCAGAGATGAATGATATGCTATGCTTCTGAGTACCACTACCTAGTATATGTGACTATAAATAAGAGATTTTATTAGTCATGTATAGAGACGAGATTAAAAAAATATTGTGTTTCCTTACTTTTGGCCCATCCTGTATACATCGATAAAGCCTTCTAACGGGTGGAGCAAAAGTTCTGCATTAATTTTGTTTTTGAAGTTACACTGTGATGGAATCTCATAGAGATTTTATTTTCTTTTTTTGTTATAAAGAGTAAAGTGTCTAGTGCAAAAATATACAAATGAATATCATTGACAATGTTTGATAGAGACTACAGAAACTTTAGAACGAAAAGTATTGAAAAATGATTTTGCAACTTTTTTTTCAACTTGACAAAGATGTCATTTAATCTGACTGATTTTATTTTTATTCGTCTAATCCGAGTTCTACAAGCTATAGATAGTGAAGTCTTGTAGCACAAAAAAGAAGCCTTTTTATATTTTTACAATGGTTGAAATGAACTCCTTAATGATATTATTTAATGTCTGCATTTTTCATCATTCTCGATTACAATTGGAAAAATAAATTCTATTCGGATAGAGAGATTGTCAGAAATTATATATTTCATATGAAAATCAAAGCTTAATGAATTCTCTATCGCACGATATTATTTGAAATAGGACACAGATTTTCTGTATGATATTCAACCAAACATTTGTTTTTGTATTGAAAATCATTAATCCTCAAAATAAAATCTTTTAATGATATACTCTTCTGTTTATTCTCTTGTATGCTAGACCAATTGTTCTAATACTACATGAAAGCCTTCTTTTTAATAGACAGTTATATATATATATATATATACGATTCTCAAAAACCACCTCATAATGATCAAGAAAAAGCTCAAACAAATATTTTTGGATTAAAATATTCTCATTAAAGTTGCAGAATCCTTTTTAATGCTTTCCGTTCTAAAGTTTCTGTAGTCTCTATCAAACATTTTCAATAATATTCATTTGTATATTTTTGCACTAGACACTTTACTCTTTCTAATAAAAAAAAATTCCTATGAGATTCCATTACAGCGCTACATCAAAAACAAAATTAATACAGAACTTTTGCCCCCACCCGTTACTTCTCTTTTTGCTTTTCTTTTCATTAAACTTCTGAAAGACTCATCCGTGTCTTTATCTTAGTGTCAGTATCACTTACTTTTATTTACGCTTATAATGCACCTTGTCACTTCTTTTACCTTGTCTCTTTGTGTATATTCATGAAACGATATGTACTATTTGAGTTCTCCTTTTTTCTTCTATGTTTTCCTAATGGAATGCTACTACTTACCGTTTTTTCTCCGTTGGTATATACAGTTGTTGTTGTATGTATGCATACAATACCACTAGGATGACTAATATATGGTCATCAGTGACTGAATCAAATTATTTTTCGTTAGTTCGAGTTCAGTTCAGTTCAGTTTGGATTTACTTTTAAAAATTGATTCGAGTTCAGCTCGGTCCAACCTTATTTTTGAAAAGTAGTTCGAGTTCGGTTCTATTCGAATAACCCTAGTCCCGCAAAATCAGGAATACACGATTTGACGGTATATCATTGTTTATCATTGAAGATACGAGTTTGTTTAACATACTGGTTGATGATTAAAAAGTAGCATGTATTCTTGCTCAAAGATACAAGTATTGAGGGTGTGAGTGTACAGATCTCTTTAATCACACCCACACCTTTTATATAAACAATCAAACAACTCAAGCAGCTCAAGTAACTGTTATTTTTTTGTCCATATCTATCAATTCTGATCTTTATCTAAATATATGATAGACTGATGAATCATTTTGTTTTGTTTTGTTTTTTTTTGCAAAGTCAAATATCGTTATATATTTATTTGTCATTTTAATTTCATGAATAAACAATAAGTTTTCTTGATTCGAAGGACAACATGTATTGATTCTTTTTTTATTCGAAACAAAAAGAAATTCTTTCATACAAAAATCTTTATAATGATTCCAAGAATTGACAACAGACAAAAAACAAAGAATAAGTTCAAATCAATTTTATTCACAATTATGATATTTACACAGCATGAGTATGATTTGATGGCATAATAATATGATAAATATTATTATTTTGTTTATCTAATTCAAATGATTGATTTTGATTATTATTATTATTATTATTATTATTTGATGGAATAATAAATTCTAATGTACTAAATGTTGGTGATGACCATCCATCTTTTTCATATGTAAAACTATCACGTTTTGTTGATACACGTTCAATTATTTGTTTTTTTCGATTACCGGATAAAACAGCTTGACGAAATGAATCGGTTCGATTAAATATTTTATTTTTATTTTCATCATTATATCCTAATTGATACATTGTTGATAATGATGATGGAAATGTATCTTGTCGTTGATTTGGTGAAATATAAAGTGATGATGTTGATAAATTTGATGATGGTGTGCGTGATTTTTTAGTTGTTTGTCGACGTCGTTTTTGTCTTTGACGTAACCAACATAACGTGATTAAAAGAATAATTATTGATGTGCCAAGTAGACCAGCTATAACGCCAACAGCTATACGAAGACGTTCATCTAATGAACTATGAGAAAAAAAAAAATCTTCAATTTATTTAAAAAATTCTTTTCTTTTTTTCTAGATTTTTACACATTTGTTCTAATTGATTTTGATGTTGTTGATGTCATTGAACAATCAATACATTTTCCATTTATACAACATTGTTCATATGAACAACGAGGTATATCATTATCATTAATCGAACAATTATTTGAATTAATAGGTAATTCACAAACGAAAATATTATTTCGTTGAAATTTTAATGTACCTATTGGACAAATACATAAATAATTTTTTGTTCCATTACACCATGTTATACAACGTGATGGAAATATTTTACAATTCGAACTATTTATCATATCAGCACAATAGAATGAATCAGAATAAGATACAAGAGCACTTGATGATACATGACAAGTACATGTTGATGAAGTACAAGTTGTTAAAGACGATGAACCACATATATCATTCATGGAATCACATGAACTACCTAAAGAATCCCAAAATATGTGAATTATTCAAAAAAAAAGACAACTAATTTTAATCTTATTAAACAATAAAAAAAACATATTCTTCAATTGAATTGACATCTTTTACATAGGAATTACGAAATATCATTAATTATCATGTAAAAAGATTATACTTGTATTTATCCTATTACATATTAAATTGAGAGATGAAATATAAATCCATAGGGATATAATCAATATTCTGGGAAAAAAAAAATTGTTTTACGATGGTAATTAGATGGAAAGTGATCAGAAAATAGATTCGGTTGAAAAACTTTACTAGCTTTCATTTGAAATGATGAAGATTTCGAACTTCTTTTTCTTTAGGAAGATTCTATAAATAATTCTAAGATATTCATTGAAGCAAAAAAAAAAGAGAAAAAATCGTGATGTCTTATTATATCTTGAAAACTTTCTGTTAGATTCTTCATCATGAAATAAGTTGAAGAATTATTAATTCAATTTTCACTGAAAAAGAAAAATTCAATTAATGAATTCTATCAAATGATCAAATAAAATATTCTTTGTTCTGGAATATTCATTAGAAAAAAAAAAACATATTATACGTGCTACTAGTTCTAACATGCATATTTGTCTGCATACTTTTAATATATATATATATCAATCTATATATAAGATTTGGATTTATTTCTTAATTTACAATTAGATTCTTTTTAAACTTACCAATAGATTTTTCATATTGTATTTGAATATAAAATATTGTCTTTGGATCTGTCATTTGTTGTCCATCATTTAATGAACAATTACTTAATTGATATCGTCCTTGTTTTAAATATAAACCCATTTGATTAAATTGAACTTGTCTTGTTATTGACATATAGTTAAATGATGTTAATTGTACACGTATAGGTTCAGAATCATGTGTTATCATTGTTGTATCTTTCATTGTTTTTAATTGACAAGAATGAACAATCGATGCACAATTAAATATAACAGGAAATGGTACAAGATAGTTTGTTGTTGAAAATTGATAAATAAGACCAAGTTCAAATGTTGATAATAATAATGATGATGATATAAAAGCGTAATTAGCTGTAAGTTTAATTGATGTATAATTATTAAATTGAAATTGATCAAAAACTGCCGCGTTTGACAAATATATATTACTTAAAAATGAACAATTGTAAAGCAAATTTGGTGTTATTGTTGTAATTTGACAATGTGCCATATGGATATAAAGGAAAAGAAGAAACACAATAACCATTGCACAGACAATACACCATTGCAGCGTGTCACACAGCAAGAACAATAGAATCAAATGTCTGAAAGTGATGTAGTTTAGTTAAAAAGAGACCAAGAATAGGAGAGAAAAAAAAATATACAAAATTATGTTGAAAGAAGAATGTTTGTGTCACTTGGCGAGCATCGCCGAGAAAGAAAGAGAGCTCATGAATGTGAGACGCTTCAATGATGTAAAGAAAGTGAAGAGAGAAGAGAATAATATTTTTCTCTTCTCTCTCTCTCTCTCTTCTCTCTCTTTTTTTTTCTCACTAGGTGCTATATTCTTGAAATATTGCAGAAAGCAAGAAAACTAATCATCTAATGATATTAACTGTCTGAAGTATATAAAAATAGATATTTTCTTAAAATAGAAACAGAAAAAATAAAAGTTTTTTTTTGTTTTAAACTAATTATATTTTAATGATAGGCAAGGTTATTTTAATATCATATCAAATGAACTTTAGAATATTATGTTGAGAATGTTTTTTTTTTTTTTTTTTATAGCAATACTTTCTCATCCTATAGAGACACATGCTGTTGACTAGTATCAAAAACACTTGTCTTATAAAAATATTCATCTCATACTTGAATGAAAATTTTAGTAAAATTAACAATGAACCTAAAAACAAAATTTGTTTACTCTCTACATACTTTAATTCAAAAAGACTAAAGAAAAACATTCAAAAGAATATTTTTCTTAAATTTATCATGATACTTACTTATCAATATTTTCGTTATACAAGATAACTTTTTATATACATACGAAAACACATTCAATTTGATTACAAAAGCAACATGTTTTTTTTTTTTAATTCTTCGTTTATACATTCTTTCATTCAATGAACAATAATGATCATCATAGTGAGTCGAATTTATTGTCTCACATGAATATGCGAATAGACACTGGTGTTATCGGTTTACTAAATTTAAGACTGATTATAATCATTGTGAAAAAAAAAAAAAAAAAAAAAAAGAAAAGTGTGATTTCGTCTATAATCTTTACGAGATTGTTTGAGCACATTTTTTTTTTCTCCTATTAGGGCATACTTTTTTTTCTTACGATCAATCGATTAATCAGTCGGTGTGTACACTTTTCTTTACATACTTGAATGAACTTAGATTGTCGTTAGATTAGTATGATTTAAAAAACGAGAACTGCTACTATAATCATTGATGCAAATAATTTTATATATCAATATTTCCTACTAAACGTTTAATTAGAAACCAATACCAAAAATGTTGACTATTTATTAGTAATTTTAGAATTGCCTCGTAAAAATGCACATTCATTTTTATTCTTTTTTTCTTTTCTTTTCTACTTCTTTTGTTTCTTCATTCTTTTTCAACAGCACGCGATGATTGATGTTACACATACACTATATAATTATTCGTTAATGACTTTAAAAATGTGTGTATTTACAATATGATTACGTATTACCTTGGTACCCAAATGTCTACATATACAAAGAAGATGGAATACAGTGTCTTAAGCCTTTTTAATGAATATTTAACTCATACTTATGTTCGCATAAATGAAGAAAAAAAGAAATCATCGCCTTCGGATGTCAATAAAAAAAAAACCTAAGAGAATTAACTACTAGAAACTGGAAGTGTCGAGGTCACTTTCTTATTCACTATCTGTTGCGTTTTCTTTTGTCTTCTCTTTTTTTTTTTTTTTTTATAAATAACAGACATGACATATGTTTCTAATATGTTGATGGAACAATGTGAACAATTCATTATGTTGAATAGATGCATTTAAAATGTGTAGGTGTTGTTTGATGTTGAAACATTGATGTATATACATACCGATGGAGCGATGAAAGTGGACACTTGTCGTTTTGTTATACATACAAACTTGAGTAAAAGAACTAATGAAATTAAAGAACATAGACGTGTATATGCATGTATATTTCATGTCTGTCTTGCCGATAGCAAATGTCCAATGTATATTTCTAATAATAGATGTTTAGGCTTATAATAAAAAGAATTTGTTTAGTTGATGTCATATTAAATAATAGTTATTAAAGATAAATGAATATAAAATTTGAAATATGATAAAATATTTAGATTTATTCATCTTGTTCATTTTTCAAAATAAATAAACTCTATTATAAAATTTGAATTACTTTTTTTCTTTTTTTTTTTTTTTTAAATAAAACATTAAATATTTTATTAGCTGCTTTTTGTAAGAAGAGAAAAGTTATTACATTTGTTGTTTTTTTTTTAAAGGGTAATAACATTTTACCTTGAAAGTACTTGATAGAAAGACACGTTAGGTTATTCAATAGTTTATGGGCTCGATTTTATTATGATATATTATTTATAGAGTATTAAATGTTCTATAGATATAATCTAATGTAAGTTTCAGACGTTTTTGTTTTCTGAGAATTCAACAAATTTTTAATTATAGAAAAAAATACTTCGTTAAAGAAGTTGAAAATTCGAGTTGATATAAAAATTTTAACAGACAAATAAAAATTCTTTTTAAAATCAAATGAAACATGTATTTTATTAAAAAGCAAAAATCCTATGATTATCATCAATCTTCATAACTATGATATTATATTACAAAAAAACAGATATTAACATAATAATTCGACTCTACTTACTTTTACTATTCATGTTTATTGTTTGACAACAATTATCGATGTTAAATATAGAACCTATCAGAATATCTCAATTGTTCATTCACTTATTTGAATTTGTCTGCTGTTTAGTCTCACTTTCGCATCATCAACATCAGCAGTAGCAGTAGCAGCATTTAGCCGGTTTCTGTTACAGAGATTGTTGTTGTGAGACAACCTTCATGCATATAGTAATATCTATTTACATTGATATTCAATCTGTCATTTTTCTTTCTTCTTTCTTTACTATACAACGAAATAAGATGAACATATGTACATAACTTTTGACTGATTTTATCGTATTTTTTTCCTATATTCTTATTTCATCTTATACTCTTTTTCTCATCCTAAAATTGAAAAGTAGCCTTTGAACTGCAAAGACTTTCAAGGCTGCTTCTACATATATATATATATATATTTGCATACATGATGAACACGTATGTATACAAGTAGATTCTTGATAGTTGAATCAATCGATAACAAGAATGATTATACATAGAAAAAAAAAAAAGAATAATTGATTTATAGTATATTAACAAGTTATGCAAGTTACTCAGACAGACCGGATTATATGTGTGCCAAAGCTATCATATTGATAAATATACGAACAAATGAGAATGAAAGCAAAAGATTACGAGTAGTATTTAAGTTGATGTAGTCAAATAAATAATCTATTTACACGATATCACGCTCCATTAGTTCAATAATGACTTGAAGAGTTTGCGATTTATTATTATAGGTCAAAACAAAGAAATGATTCAAGCTGATTTAATAACCTGTCTCTGTAAATAATGAAGATTAATTGTTATTAAAAAAAAAAAAAACAATTTAATAAGACAACATTTTCAGATATTCAATTTTGTTTTGATCCGATTAAATTAATTCCATGTTTGTTAATTTAAAAAAAACACGCCACACAATATAAAACATATTCAATTTAATTGTTCTATTCGAGTTTTTTTTTTTCTCTTATATATGTCTTTGTTCTTCTATTTAGTCGTTTACAAACACACCCTATGCATTTTTAGTTCATGAGTAGAATTAAACGATTAGCGTTTTCTTTTTTACATGTAGCTAAAAGAATGGAATTTCATACAAATGAATATGAAGAATTGAAATAGATTTTCTTTTAAATTAACTCATAAGATTGAAACATATATTTGATAAATTAAAATAAATCTATAGATGAAATGTTCTAAGAGTATTATCTTAATAAATCCTTCTGTTTTTCAAGCATCATTATTAACTGTAATTAAAAAATCTAACCACTTGCAAAATACAAAGAAACAACAACGAAGTGAGGAAAAAGTCATTTAACCGAGTACTCATACTTGATGTTCGATTATATATATATATTTTTTTTTTTTTGTTGAACAAAATTTGTATACTTTTATTATTACATTGACTTTAGAATTAGAAATACTATCATGTAAAAGTTAAAAAAAAAAAGTTGGTTTTGTTATTATTAATTTATCTCGAGTGACATGACTTTTGTTCGTTTCTCATTATTCTTTTGTAACATAGAAAAATAGAGGATTCTTTTTTTTTTCATGGAAGTCAAGGATAATATTACAGAACAGTATTTATTGCATTTTTTTTTCTAATTACGACTGATATCTCAAGGGCAATGCAAGTAAAATAAGTTCTTTTTGGAAATGAATAAAATTTCATTTATCATGTTTCTAACAATTGATCATGTTTCACTTAATGCTCTATTAATCTATTTCAATACTCAACGTTTCCATCTCATTAAACCAGTTCGAGATTAGAATCATCATAATCAGTTGTCACACGTGTCTGTTGTTAATCATTTGAACATTGCTGGTAGTTCCCCCTGTGATTAACTATATTTCTCACTGCTTATATCTATTGTATCAAATCCAGTGTCAACGAAATGTTAATCTTTTAATATTCAATTCATTAGTAATGATGGAAGTTATGATCCAATTGTACAACAATTCAAAACTAAAAAAAAACATAGTTGTATTTTAAAAATACTATTCAAATAAGATAGTGTTGTTTCATTCATTCCAAAATGTGTGTATGATTTACTTTCAGTTGATTGTTTCGAAGATGAGAAATGAATAGTCATTGTGACAATTAATGTATCGTCAGAACAAAAGTTCCGGTAAATTTGCTAAAATGTAATATAACACTAAATACTATCAATTATTTAGAAGGTCGACATTCTCGAATGAAAAACAAATATGTAAATTCTCAATATCCAAACATTTACATTACAATTGATTTATTGCAAAAAAAAAAGAAAAAGAACAATCTTTAGTATCGATTGCAAGAATACAAGATTACATGGCGACTTCGATTCTATAACGTCGGAAACATAAAGTCGTAACAGATGAATGTTTAATGAAATTATAGCAACGTTACGATGAAAGTCGTATTGATATTTCAGTGTTCTTGGAAGCTACTCGATCGAGATATTTTCAGTGGTCATCAAATTCTTTTTTTTTTCTGTTTTGATAATACATTAATTGTTATAATGTCTACTCATTTCTCTACTTCGAAATAATCAATGGACGGTAAATTATGTAAACCGCTATTGACTAATGTTTCTTTATTAATGATTAAAAACAAAGTCAGCCTATTCAATTAAACTATGATGAAATAACTTAATCTGCTTTTTTTTGTAATAATAGTAATTGGAAATTAATTTGTGTTTTTTTTTTTATATATAAATTTTCAAATTAACTATAGGCAGATGTATAATGAGCCAAATAATCTACCGGGTGGCCCAAAAGTAAGGAAATAAAAAGGGTATGCTATAATAATGGATAATAAATTGTTAATGATATTTTTCATACCTTATATTGATATAGAGAGCTAAAATTTTGATCACATATATATCTAGTTAAGATCTTTTATGTCTGAAAGTTTCAGCTTTCCACATCAATAAAAAGTGTAAAAAAGATCATTAACAATCTATTATCCATTATTATAGCATATCCTTTTTGTTTCCTTACTTTTGGGCCATCCGGTATATAAAGTTTGACATTTTTAAATGTATGTTTCATGTCTAATACATAAAAATATTTTATTAACATTGTAGAGAATTCTTATTGGTTAAAATTGAAAAGAAAAGTTAAGTACATTATTTTATGTACTGCATAAAATTCGAGCATCACTGTATGGTTGTGTTTAACTCTCGTTTTTAAAAAAAAATACATAAGACATCTTTGTTTTTTTTTAAGAATATTAGATGATAAATCACTACTACATAGCTTTGTTGATTGCATGAGCATTGCTTTAATCATTGTAATGACAGACTGGATGAGGGATAGCTTACTGCTACTTTCACTAATGAACTTTATTGAACTATTTCATATCTTTAGAATGTAATTACTTCACATACAATAAACGCCTATTTGGGAGAGAGAGAGAGAGAGAGAAAAGAGTACAGGTAAGAATAATAGAGAGGGAAAAGAGGTCAGGAAGATCAGCAGGAGGTGATATCAATATCTACACAATCACACCATTGATTAATAATAATGATTAAGTTGTCTGCTGATGCTTTCTGTTTCGGTCAGGGTCGCCACCTCTTCCGTGTTCTTATATGAGATATTTTGGATTATGTTTTTTTTTTTGTTGAAAAATTCGAGGCAATAAAATCTGTTAATATAAAGTTGCGATAACTATCATCTACAGTCTATTATTGCCTATATGGTGCATTCTGTGCTTTATTCCAACAAGCAACGCCAATTCCGAAAGTTTTTTTTTCGAAAAGGAGACATTCATTCTATGATTTTTGTAATTAAATATTAGTAGACTCGATAGCTGTAGAAATCCAAATTTGTTGAAATACTTTATTATCACACGAATATGCGCAAACATATGTTGTTGTCTCAAAAAAGAATTGCTAACTGGAAAACCATTCAAACAGTAATATTCATATTTTTTATATATTATTGGTCACATTTTGGAACTTTGAGAATAAAGAAGTATCCGCGAAAAACGCAACAAATTATTTAACTCCATAGAAAGGTAAAGAATCCACCTTTTCTCAAATTATTTCCATTGATAATGAATAAAAATTATATATTTTTCTGTCCTATTGATTTGACTTTAATTTTATTCTTTACTCGTTTTATTGAACTTTCACAATATACAAAATATTTTATTGTATAGTATCATCATTAAATACATAGACAACTAATTAATTTTTCCATGATTTTATTTTCGATGTCAAACATTGTTATGCAAATACCAACATACAAACTCAACACGTATAAGACCTATTGGCATATAAAATGGCTAATTGCTAAGAATATGAATTGTATTATTGTATAAATTTAAATCAAAATTTATTCGAGTAATTAATATTGAAGCAACATGATCTAAACCTAAGACACATGTTAAGAAGAAGATTGTCTTCTGACGATAATGAAATTAATCTAAACAAAAAATAACACAAGGCTCCGCAAGGCATTCATTTGAACCCATAGAACATGTATGATCAAGTTATAAGATTGTATTTTTCAATACAAATGTTTGTTTCTACATGAGAAAATATGATATCCTTCACCTTTAAAAATAAATTAACATATATATAGTAGTTTAAATCTCGTTAGGTTATTTTATTTGGCAAGTATAAATACAGAAAAAAAAATAGCAGTATAGGTTTTAATTATAGTAAAGCATAGGATTTATAAATACAAGCAGAGTGAAAATAATACTTTGTGTTCTTTATTTTTCTTTTCAAATTTTAAAAGATTATATTATCTTGTGCTGATTTGATTTCTGTTTCGACATTTGTAGAAACAGCTATTGGTGTTGTAAGCTCAGATGCTCTATATGAAAGTGATTAATTTAATAAATATTCTTAAAAATAAAAAATATTTACCCAGTATTTGTACCAAAAGCAGTTGTATTGCCTTCATTTGTCGTTGGAATTGTTGGAGCCGGTACTAATTCTGATGGACTACATTATAAAAAACCTTTTTTTTTTAAATTTCCAATCAACTTCTATTATTTACCCTTTTATAGCTAGTTGCATTTGATTATCAACAACATTTGTAACTTTTTGATCATCTGTTGCAATAACTGTTTCTGTAACAGGTATAGTTGTAATGTTTTGTGTATTCTCTACAGTTTGTGCATGAGAAGTAATTATAGTAGTAGTTGTTGATTGTAATAAATTTTGAGCTTCTTGTTGATCTAATACAACAATTTGATCTGTAAGATTAGCAATATTTTGTTTAGCTTGTTCTTGTGCTTCAACTAAAGCATTTAATTTTTCTGTATTAGCTTGATTATTTATAGCATCAATTTGTTGTTTAGCTTCAAACATAATTATTTGTTGTCGAGCTTGTAAATCACGTTCTAAATCAGCTAAAGTTTTAGCTTTAACAGCATCTAATGCTTCAACAGCTTTTTGTAATTGAAGTTTATATTCATTTTCAATGGTTAAATGACGATGATTTGCATCACATAATAATTGTTCTTGTTGACGTTGAGTACTTGCAAGAATATCAGCAATAGATTTTTTAGCCTATTTCAAAAAAAAAATAAATAAAAACAGCAATAAATAATTTTAATTGAAGTTTAACAAAAAGTAAATCATAAAATATACTTGTTCATTTATTTCATTTGTACGTGCTCGAGAATATTGATCAACTTGTGTATGTGTTGTACTTAATTGTGTTATTAAATTATCAATATTAACTTTATTATGAAGTGTTAGATTTGCTTGAGCTTCAGATGATATAATAGAATTGACACGAATATCATCAGCAACAACTGATGTATGAAGACTTTCAGAAACATTAGCATTTTTAATTGCTATATCGGTTTGATTTGTTACAATATTTTGTTGTTCCGGTTCAGGATATGTACCGAATAAAGCGTTAAATATGGCTGCCATTACGTTATCGTATAGAATAGAGTATTGAGTATATTTTGTATAGAATTAATCTTATGTGCAAAAGAACTGATGAAGACCAACAAGGCTATATAGTACTATTATTTTCTTCCTGTTTATATTTTTTGCGCCTAATGTGTTGCCTTATAGCTAGAATCTTATCGTTGTTATTCGTTCGTTTCTCTTGTTTTTTTCTTTCCTTTCACATGACTAATCAGAATCTATCTCAATCGAGACGTACGGAAAAAAATAGGCGTAAATTATTATTACTAATCCTACTCGAATAGACTAGAGAAATTTGATCCATGTACAGAAGGTGTAAACATCATGTTGACATATAAGCAACAAAGTTCAAATGTCTATAATCGTACAATATGCATATCGATAATAAAAAATATATATAGTTATTTAGTAAATATTGATCTGATTCATAAAACAACTATTCTTTATTGAAGACAGTGAATTAGATTGTTTTTATTGCTTGAAGAAATAAACTCATATTCTCTTTCTATCATCAATGAATGTGTCAAGGGCATAGAGTACATTATATAACTGTTTTCTCTCGTTGAAATTGATATTTTCCCTGTTTTCAGATAACACATAAGATATGCACCGCTAAAAACAAATATATTTTACTACGATTGTAGAATAATTGCTATAGAAGATTTTCTCTAAAAATAGAAGCATAATGTACACAAAAAAAGTCACATTTGGGAACTATCCACATGTTACTAAATATCATTGAATCTATGCGTTGTTGTAGATTATTGCGATGAAAACGAACGCTTATGATACATCTCGTGAAAAAATTTTGGATATTATTTTTCTTTTGAAAAAAGAAAATAATAGTTCCGGAAGATAATTATACTATTTTTAATGTTTAATTAACTCTTGAAAGAAAATCATGACAAACATTAATAAGATAAAAAACAGAAAATATTTTTGTTTTTTTGTTTAATTCATATGATTAATTCAATCATTTTTTCATTAATTTCTTAATACGAAAATTAAAAATCACATGAGAATCAAGTTTTTCCAAGAATTCTATATATAAAAAAAAAATTTGTCGCTCGATTTGAATCAGTCTGATTAGCATGATGATCGGACTTTTCGTCTCAGGAGCAAATCCTGATGAACAAAGTATTACAATATTTTATAGTACAATTCATTGGCACATTATTAAATAATTTTGTAGACGGTAATGATAATAAGTAAAGAAAAACAGAGAGATAATACTGTAGTTTCTGAAGAAAACTGAAGTCTAAATGTTAAACAGATTTACAAAATCCACAAAGGCCCGTCGTCTTTATTCCAAATCAATATTTTAAGTGCTTAGTTCCAGTGAGTCTCCGACAAGAAGACTACTGTAAATGGTCAGTTTTGACTGCTGCGATGCAATATCTGTATCAGCGGCTTGTTGTTTCTGGAAATAGAAAAAGCTGATCGTTGAATTCGGACATGATATTTCGACTTCCAAGATTCGATTATTTTTTTAAATTATCTCACTGAAACCAATCCGTACACTATCATTTGGGTACACTAGAAGAAACTTTTGTCTGAAAAATTATGTTTCATGACATAAGAACGTGATTGGAATGATTCATGACTGGAGTTGGATGGATGACTTTGATGAAGGAACTCTCAAAACTCTAATTTCAAAGATGTAATATGCATATCAAAGTACACTTTCTACTTGAAGTTGCGAGTGCGGACATTTCTTATTTATATGTTTAGAGAGTAATAAAATTTTATTTGAACTAAACAAAAGATATTTTTTCAATTGTTTTTGAATCAAATTATGACTCAAGATTTCTGATACTATTGCCCATTTCAAAAAAGGGCGGGTGAAGAATTTTTTGAATAACTTTTGATAGAAGCAAGATAAAGAGCTGCGATTTTCACTGTTGAAAAGAGGAGATGACGACGCATCGAATTGTATATTATAGAATCATTTGATCTAGTTTTTTCAAGATCTTAAATCGATGTTTTTGAAAAGCAACATATTCCATAAGTTGACTAAGATCAATTTTCAATAATCAAGTGCGCATTGAAACCGCTAAATGAAGATTTACAAAATTGAACAAGGTCCAGACTTATAGATTTACTCGTTCAGTAGGTATAGGCGCTTTATTCAAAACTCTTAGCCGATTTTTCCATTAATTTCTGTGAAAAAAAATCAATTTTTTTTCGTTATTTTTATTTTAAGAGAAAGCAATTTTCTAGCATTTTTTCAAAAAAATTGATTAAGAAAATCTTAGAAAACATCTTAAAGAAGCCCATAATACACCATTCGATGCGTCTTCATCTTCTCTTTCTAACGGTGACATACAAGTTAAGAACTTCTCCAGTACTTGAAAATCTTTTATGAAGAAATACTCATTTAATGACTGTTATCTTGCTTATTATATATCAAGTAATGCGAGCAAACAAAATGAAGTTCGAATTAAATCTTTTTCATTGATCTACGACGAAATTAGATATAGATCTCATCCAGACTCTCAATGTCATGAGAACAGGTGACATTGCTCAGCAATTGTCATGCTATACTTTTCTATTGAGTTTTTTCGATTTCATCGAAATACTTCCAGTAAAAAAATAAATGTTTATTATAAAAATAAATTTTGAATACGATAGTATTTAATTAAAATATAGATTCATTTAATAACTATATAATTATTTAAATATATACCATCGAATATAATAAAACTAAAAAATCAAAAACTGCTAAATTACAATGTTTTATACAGTCATATACAAATCGATTACAATATTCAACTGATTACATTTAAAAGAAAAAAAATATAATAAGCATCACAATGATGGTATTAACCGTCCAATAGCTTGACATATGTGTCCTAATTTTAATCCTCCATCATATTTCCACCAAAAACTTACATTAATATATTCACCTTGAATAACTTGAAATGTTTGTTGTATATAAACCGGATAATATTTCGAAGCTCCGTATAGATAAGCCGAACCAGTATGAGCTAAATTTGTTGTTGTATCTATATATGTATCTGGTGTAGAATTTGATGATATATTAAGTGTCCATCCAGTTAAATTTGATTCAAATCCACCATTAACAATAAGTTGAATATTATCATTTTGTACTACACTAATACCATCAAAATACCAATGACCAGATATTGTATCATGTTGTAAAGCAAATTGTATTGTAAATAATTTTGATGTTGCCATTTGATAACATGAATAATAATTATAAGAAATTTGTCCTTCACAAAATGGATCAGTTATATTAAACATTTCTATTGGACATATCCAATAATTTTCTGAAGATAATGGAGTTAATATTGATTTGAAATCCAGAACTGAAAAGAATTTATTAATATATATATATATATTTATGATTTAAAATTATCTAACAATTAGTTTTTACTAACAAGAAAATTTGTTCGTTTTTTTTTTCTTTTATCGAAACTTACTCTTTCCACTTGAATCAGTAGATCCACCTACGAATGAATTATATTTTTATAAAAGAAATTAAAGTTTTTTGACTTACTTCGACCAACAAATATCGTAACTAAAACTGCAACGAAAATACCAATGATAAAAATTATTGATATTATTGTAATTATAATCAACATTCGTTTTGATAGACATGTGTTCTCATCACTATTTCAATTAATTATTCTTTTATGAAAATATTTATATGTTTATATAATAAATACTTACATCTCGTTAAATTCATCTATTGAATAATCTCTTGATCGACTACTTGATCTTGGTAGTGATGATATTACTGATCTTTCTATTGTTTCAATATCATAAATTGGTGTTGCACTAGAAAACCTTGACAAAGATGTAGTTTGATCATTATGAATTTGTACTGGATTTATTATGGTTTCATTTGGTAATCGATTTCTATTCTATATGCATATTTTTAATATAGACATTATTGTTTACTTTTTTATTTTTTGGAAAAAAAAATAACAAGACTAACTTGATTTTTACTATGTTTTTTTTCTATTCGATGTAATCGTGAATCAATATATTGAGATGATAACTGCGTAATAAATAATAAAATAAATAAATAAATAAATACAATCTCATATCAAAAAGAAAAATAAACCTCGATTGGTTCTACTCTGCTGGATTTTTTCGATTGAAAACTATGTTTTTTCTTGGAGAATAGAAAAAAAAACGAAAAAACAAAGATCAATTAATTAATTTATATATGTGTCAATTTACTTCATCTTACTTTTGATGATCGTTTTGAATCTGTATGTCGAACATTACCCTTTTTATTAGACATATGTAGTTTTCGATATGCTTCATTTGCTGCTATAACATTTAAAACCCATCGACCTGTTTGTGCTTGTTTTTCTTTATCAGCAACAAAATATTCATCATAATCTTGTGACTGAACTTTTGTTTCTGGATTAACACGTTGAACAGATATAGGACCTGATCGATGAAGAGTTTTTGATGGTCCTGTATTGAAATCAGGATATATCATCGTACCATTACGAGTTGTTGGCTGTGATCGATTAGGCCATACTTTACTTTCCAATTGATATTTCATTATTATCGAAATAAAATTATTTTCGAAGATAGATTTAATTCAAATAAAATATAGTCTGTTTCGTGCATGTGTAAAAATAATCAACTATAGGTTTCTTTTCTTTTCTTTTTTTCGATTATAAAAAAATAGAATCATTGTTAATAAGCAAAAAAAAAGAAATCATCGGTAACAAAAACAAATGGATTTTTATTTTTACTTCGAATGAAAGAAAAAAGAATATTTTCTTTCACAAAAATATAAGATCATACAGAAATTTGTTTAAGAAATTTTTTTTTTATTAGATTATCGATGTGATAGTTCAGAATAATTTCAGAAAAAAAAAACTTATCAATCTCTATCACAAATAAAATATTTTTTTTTTCCTCATAATTAATATCGTCAAATTCTATATTACTTTCATGAAAGAAAAAGTAAGACAGAATCCGTAAATATTCAAACACTTCAAACTAATAAAGTATTACAATAAGAAAAAAAGAATTTCAAAATCAAATTATGATTATATATTTTTTCTGGGATAATATTTTTTTTTTGCTTCTTCTTTCGATGTATTTACTTTGAAATTGTTTGCAACAGATATATAATACAAAACAAAAAGAATGGGAAACTTTTTTTTTTGTCATAATATTTTTGAACTTTATTAGATTCTGAATTTATCGAGATATGAACAGTTTAGATTAACTGGCTGAAGAAAAAAAAGCTGATTTATTCAAAAATAAAATCTATTTTACAAACAAAATGATAATTTCAGTGCACACAATAAATATATATATCAGTTTTTCCCACAGATTGTAGTGGACATTGGATACTTAAAAAAACCTATTTTCATGTTTTGCAATCGTATACATTGAATAATCTGAATCAAATTCTATATTATAAATTCTTATTTGTGCTAGTGAACCTTTTGTTTGATACAAACGTATTTCACTCATACTAAGATTAAGAACTGATATCAATGTATAATTTGTTTTGATTAGTACAAAACCAAATTCGATTCATTTGAAAACGATAAAGAGGTATTGAATTAGGAAATATAATAGATTTTATTGTGACAGCAATTAGATCATATATATAAATGATCGATGATAAAAATTATGAAATATAGAGACGATTATTAAAAACAGTAATATTAAATGGTATGATATT